AAATACCTCAAATAAACGTCTGAAATTATTAGACTGGACAAAATAAAAATAAAATAATAACTAATTTTCAAGCCCCTCCCCCCCCCCATTGAAAAATCACGCATACGCCGCTGCTTTGAACTTCTTTTTGAATTATGTAGATAGTTGTATGTATTGAACTTGTGATAAAACAGTAACTAATGCCATTGGCCAGGCATTTACTTATCTATATAAATTACAATATTATTGTAGTCGACCAGAGCGGCGTTCGCGTGTTCTCGTTTGCTATGTGGATTAAGCCTACAGGGGACACCATAATAAAAAAAAATGCGCCACGTGTAATATCTCATGCTTTTAAACAACACCTATGGGCTATGGACGATGTGATGTAAGGTCGTTTAACGAGCATATAGGTGGTGTGGAAACTTACCAGACGCTGCAGTAATCCTATAAATCGAGTACATGAGTACATAAGTAATATAGATAACACCAATCTATACTATAAAAGCAAATCTAGATTTTGTGTCACGGGTTGGCTCCGAAATGGCTTGACCGATTTGCTGATTCTTTTTTTTGTTATGTTAGTAAAAGTCAGGAAAAGGTTCTTATGAAAGAAAATTTTAGGAAAATCTGGATGTCAAAAATACAACAGGCGCCATCTGTACAGAAAAAAATAAACTAAATAATGATATATTTTTGTTTATTGTAAGGTTGCTATTGGTTATGCTTATGATTGTTGAAGTTTGTCAGTTAGTTGTTAATTTTGAAAAATTTTACTAAAATATAAGGAGGAAATGACACGAAATATGGATTTGCTTTTTAGTGTAGATTGTCAATAATAAATTGTTAAAATATAATATATAGTTCTAAAAGAAATATCTATATCTATTGAGTGTGGCATACAGGTATCTAGGATTATAGAATTGTTGCGCTTTCGTACGATACCAACTCATTTTGGTGCTAATGGCTTCCACCAGTACAAACAACACGGTGTCCGCGATCTACCACAGGCAGATTTCCTACCTGATAATATACTGCTGCGAATCTCATGGGATAACGCCGGTCGAGATGGCTATACATTAAAATATTATATCATTTACACTTGAAAACATCATATAATATTACACTCAAATTGAACAATCAGCATTTTTTTTACTGGTAACTGAAAAGTTAAGATAAGTTTTTAACAGTTTTACACTACTCTGCGCACAGTTCAATTACTCTTCATATATAAAAAAAGGGGTGCTCTGCTGTACAGTAGGTTACAAGTGGGTCACTGTATAATGGATGGTATTAAATTTGAATTCAATGATATAATATCATTGTATAAGAAAAACGATTCTGAGCGGAGACGGTATGTCGGTCTAGGTATAAGACATATTACATACATATCTATCTATGGTATTAAAAAAAAATTGACCTATAATAAATTCCAAATTAATCATATCACAATATCCATTAGGTACTTATAATGCGTTATACATCAACAACAAACCGTGATACTATCGAAGATATATAATAGTACACTTTAGAAGTTTCAAGTACCCCTGAATAAGATTATACAATCACAACAAAACACCTAAAATAGTTATTCTAGGTTTTATAATATGTCATTTCGTCCAAATTTGAACTTAAAATGACTTTAAAAATAAACTGTGCTTGTGTATTTTTTAGATTTTTTGGTAACAAAATGAATTACTTAGATGGAATCTTGTTTTAAATTTTCAATCCTTAGATATAAAAGTTGAAAATTTTATAAATTTATAAGGACAAAATAATTATTCAATTTTAAATTTGACACATTTTATCAAAATTCGATCTTTAAATGCTTATAAAAAAAAATTTTGCCTATGCATTTTTAATATTTTTCAACTGCTATTGTAACAATATATCAGGAGCCTTGTATTACATTTTTACACTTTTTGGCCGAACAGATAAAACTTAATTGATATTTATAGAAAAAAAAACTAAAAAAATTGAAAACTGAAAATGTCCTTAAACAGCTCAAAAGAGTCAAAATATTTTAAAAATTGTATGGTGCATAGGAAATGCTAATATAAACATTCGGTGAAATTGTCATGTATCTAGATACAGTTATTAGTTTTTGAATTACCGCAAAATAGGAAATATGAAATAGGAAATAGGAAATCGCTACATGAGAAATCGAGCGAATATCCAATGTTGTAAAAATTTGAATTTTAAACACTCATAAAAATTTAATTTGACTTTCTTATAGAATTTTTTTTGATAAAGGTAGATAATCTTATTAGTGATCTTGTATTACATTTTAAAATCTTAGATTTAAAAAGAAAAATTTTTACGAATTCTTAAATCAAAATAATTTACTAATTATCGTGATTTTTCCATATTTTGTCAATTTTTGAACTTTAAATGCTTATAAAAAAAAAAACTCTGACTAAGGATTTTTAATATTTTTCATTTGCCTTTGAAACAATATACTAGGAGCCTTCTATTAAATGTTCAAGTACAGGACAGGCTCAATCGAAAATAGTGAACTAGGCAAAATCAAATTTTGCCGCCCCTAACAATATAATATTATCAGTATTTTGAAAATTCCGCCCTCTTACTGAAGTGCTGCTAAAGTGCCGCCTTAGGCGTGGGCCTATGTCACCTACCTCTTGAGCCGGACCTGTTCAAGTATTTTTACTCAACAAATAAAACTTTATTAATATTCATTAATATTCAACAATCAGTACACTTCAATAACAAATTATAAACAAGGAGACAGATGATAATCAGACAATGTCAACGCGCTCACATTCATAGGCATTAGGCAGTCTTTCATCCTGCCAAAGATAAAGATAACATGTCGTTATCCTGTGTTCAAAGCATGAACTATGAAGAATAAAGAGCTTTATTCTTCATGGTTCAAAGTTATTTCAACAGCCGATAATATAATAATATTATGACCATAATAGTCAGTGGCGTAACTTGGATAAAAATCTAGGGCAATGCAATTTCGGCCGTTCCTATAGTCATAATCGTGATTCCAAGAATATAATATTATTCAACAAGATAAGCATAAAATAAATATAAGCTTTAATAAAGTAATTTGAGTAAAAAAATATTTTAATATTATAATATTATGTTTAAAGCTGGGCCGATATTTTCCGATATCCGATATTATTCCGATTTATATTGCCGATATAAAACCGATTACCAATCCGATATTTCATTTTCATATAAAAAAAACTTAAATACCCGATATATTTTTCAAATCCGATACCCGATATAGAAAACCAATGTATCATGTATGTATGTAACCATATAAATGATGTGACATATCAAAACATATTAGATTTCCCCAAGGAAAATTAATAATACATTAATAAATAATAATTGATAATGTTAAATATTCTTTTAGTTGATTATTCAACAAAAAAATAAAACAATGTAATAGTAATACAAAATTATAAATATTAAAATAATCAAACTTGAAATCACTAAACTATAAGTAATAAATATTAAATCATTATTAATTAAAAATTAAAATATTTATACATTTAAAAGTGAAATTTAATGATACTATAATAATTAATAATTTTTGGGATACTATCTTTATCGATATTATTATTTATCAATAAAATCATAAGCGTGGTAAGCAGGAGGGTTTACAAATCTTACTATAACTTACTACAAATTCTACTATAAATACCGAGGGAGTATATAGGTAGACACTAGACAGTATAATAATTATACTTTATATGAAGTGTATTGTCCCGCTCAAAACACTTTTTGTTATGTCGTACATTTGTAAGACGGGACAACACATGCGGGTGTAGCGACTGTAGCGTCCTCTTGAGGTTCCGGGTAAAAATATTTATGTGTTATAGAAAACCATTTTGATTTAGACGGTGTGGGTAAAATGGCTTAAGTTAAATATTTTCGATTGTTATAATACGCTATTATCAAGTTACCGAGACTCGAGAGTACACTGTATACCTTATACCTAGCGGCTAGCATATAATATGTCCACATTATTATTATTATTTTTTAACTAGTTTAATTTATTATAACTGAATGGAAAAAAAAATGAAAAGAAAATTAACGACAAGGCAGGATAAAAGTTTTATTCTGAACAACAAAGTCATTGTTTCACAAACTACCTACTCGGCTATTTTTTTTCGGTAGGTGAAATTCAATTGTGTTAAGTGGACCCAGGTGTTGTAACTTGTAATCGCTTATCTCACATAAATAATTAAATACGAACGTAATTTTAGCAAACCTACACACTCCCCAGTTCTCTTGTCCGTAAAAACTCCGCACGTGATCATAATTGAAAAATATGGTCTATTTAAGGGGTGACTTTGTATCTAACTTTACTGAGGAGTTGTAAGATTGAAATATTGAATTCTATAGTTTTTTGAACATAAAGCTGTAATAGTCTCCTAACCTATATAGATTAATTATTCAGACTGTATTAAAATTTAAAATTAATTAATAGGTTAAGTTAATCTATACATACATAAATATCGAGGGAGCCATTCTCTTCAAGCGGCACTTCTTTTGTACAGCCAGTGTAGGGCTGACGGTATTGAAAATAATACTGAAAAATCGAACTGTTTCGGTACACCGAAAAACAGAAATGTTTCGGTTTATCTATTTTATTATATACTATAGTATATAATATTATAATCTATATTATTGCCATTGATACTAGAAAATTTAAACGGTTTTTTAAGGTATACCGTTTACCAAAATAATTTTAAAATACTGGTATACCGAAAATACCGTCAGTTTTAAGCCAGTGTTTATGTTGTGTTGGTACCAAAAATATCTAAGTTGTAAAATACAATCTGGATTCTGGAATTGACTTTGGTTATCTTTATGGATTTATTAATTTCTCATTTATTCAAATTAATTACTTCAATAGTATTATTAAAATGTAGCTTAAATTAACATAATGTATATATTTAATATAAATATTAGCTGTTAGCTTATCTAACTATTGTATATGTGATTTAATGTATACGTTTAATCTGGAATCTGGACAAATGTAATTATGGGGAAATAATGCCTTTGGCAATGAGAGTATTTAGTACTGTGGAGAGTAGGGCGATAAGAAGATTGATTAATGAGCTTAAATTAGATATAAACCTGGAACAGGTGTCGGTGAATTTTTCTATATATGAGTTTTGTTGTTGTTTGGTGGCTTCTGCGTAAGATTTTGCTACGGAGTGAGCTTTGAATTCAGGGCGCTTAGCTGGAGGAATTTTTGGAGCAGGTTTTTGGAAAGCTGCCTTTATACTGAGCATCCCTTAAAGTTGGCGGTGTGGTCCCCACTGCATAGGGATCATTTATTTTGTAATACCATATACCGAACACACATTTATCACAGATCAGTATAGATTATATTTATGTAGGTATTTTGAAACAAGTCGAACTCGAACCACTTACTCAAAAGCAGAATCCTTGATAACTCATATCCGTTCATTTCAAGCGTACTGCGTAGCATATAGCCAAGATACCTAGGTACCTTCCTAGCGAAATTGGTTTCTATAGGTACTTCCTGCAATAGTGGGAGTTCTGGGTTGACATAAGCCAATATTTTATATGACAGATTTAACAGTACATTTTGTCAGCAGTCCAAAATGCTAATTAATGGTTACTATTTAAAACGTTTATATTTTAAAATACCGTGGCTGCCAGCAAGTCCTAATCATTGACCATTGTATCGTATTGATTATCCACACCTATATATCTTATACTATAAGAGAAAAAATGGTGCAATCAAAAACTGACCACAGTGTTCATTGTTGATGTAGGTGGGAGGGGGAACAGAGATGTCAAAATCTTGAGTACACGTCTCTAGTAATTAATAACTGTAGGTACAAAATACATCTAACGTAGATAATATACAATCATTCCACAAAAAAACATGTTTTAAAATAACACGTTTGAGTTGTTTTAATGATTTTGTTGCAATTTAAAAAGAAGGGGTAGTGGATATACCACTCTACTGTCCAGTATAGGTATGTAGAGAGGTGATTGTAATGCATCCAATTTGAATTCATTGATAATATAAAATCATTGCATGCAAAAAACAATTCTGGGAGAATGTGGTCTGTCTTACATGTGTAGGTACATCTAGTTATGACTTATAATATTTTTAAATGATTAGTTTTATGTTTAAAAATAATTAAAACGTCTTTTTTCAATTAATATTTATTTTTTTTTTAAAGAATCGTTGTACTCGACAAGGAATAGCTATCTAGTAATAGGTAATATAAAATTAGTTACCTACACGGGCTACAACATTTGAGTATTTGGGTATTGGCGTGCTTCTCAAAATATAACCGTTAAACTTGAATTAAGTAGGTATAATTACAATTCAAGAACATTTTTAATTAAGTGTTTGTATATTGTACGTAGATTGTAGGTATAATATCTAGCCATCTAGGTACCTATATTATGGATATATAGTAATAATATAGTATAAAGTAATAATTTAATATATATATATTAAAAATATTATCATTGGAACAGTTATACAATAAAACATAAATTTTAAAAATATATACGAATAAAACAATTTATGAATCCCTGAATATGTATAAAACAAGAGGAATGATTAATGGAAATCTAAATTTAACCAAACATAACACATCTTTGATGGGTAATTATTATATAAACAGAGGGATAAACCTATTTAATCGACTACAAACAAATATTAAATTGATTGATAAATGATAATGATGTCAAATTTAAAAAAATATTAAAAAATATGTACATGCATTCCTTTGAAAATCTTGTTTAATATCCGTCTTTATTATAACACCAATTGTATATGTTATTTTTATTAGGACTTTCGGTTATTTTGTATTCATTTTTATAAATATTATGTATTGTAAAATTGTGTATAAATTATTGTAATTAATTATTAAGACTCCCTACTCTTACCACAAGCTATTGCTTATAGAGAGTAGGTATGAACTTAAAATGTTAATTTAAAATTAAAATGTAATCATTATTATGAAAAAGAAGTTGAATAAACATATTATTATTATTATTATAGTACACCGTTACCGGTTTACTCGTAACACGTACACATGATAATAAAATTCAAATACTATGATGGGCTATTTGAAATCAGGCGAAACATTGAAATTACAAATTACAAATTACAAACGAAAGGTAAAACGGATACGGTATAATATTATGTACGGATAGGTGCAGGAGTATAATAAAGTGCATACTCTAGTACAGAAAATGTAAATTGCCGGCAGCCAAGTTCCCACAGGGTAGCAGCGGTAATGGCACAGGTGTCTCCTCTAGATGGCCCGTGTTTATACATAATACGTTTCACACATCATTAGCGTCCGTATATTGACAATCATATAACATTATTATTATTATTATAGCCTCAGGGCTGTTAGATACTATATATAACATGTATATATAATATGTTCAACGGTCGTAGTGCATATTGTTATTAATCGAGTAACATGCACAATTTGTACCGAAACATTTCCTCTTTTGGAACTTACGTGCTGCGTACCTATATAATAATATACATTGGTACAGTTTATATTATATACATGTATTGTATACATATTATACACACCTAATTCAGTTGTATTATATTATATGTCTGGGGTCACATCCGGTATGACAGTTTTTGAGCGTGTGATTTTTAAATATTACAGGTGCAGGTCAAGAGTTATTTTAATTTGTTATTTTAGCGAGGTCAGTTAATGTTTTAGTTTATAGTGTTATTGAGAAATTATTATAGTTTTTAGAATAAATTATTATACAAATTTTGAAATAATTAACTTGTGTTTTGATTGTTCAGATAAAGAACAACCGTACGTATTAATACTTAATAGGTATATGCAATTTGTCTTTTATAAAAATAATATAATTAGGTAGGTACCTATGTAAAATATTATTGTTATTATGAAATTAAATGATTTCAATAATAAGCGACTAATAGTCGTGTTAATCATACGTCATAGGTAGTATTAACTTTATATAATTTCACTATTTTTATACTTTACGAATTTACGATCGCCATCCCGCTGATAATCTCTTCTGAAAGTGTGGGAATTACCTTTTATCTATATAGGTACACTAAAGAAGAACAATAATAGAAATTGACTAGCACATTACCCATAGATTTTTTTTTTTATAAGCATATAGAGAATATAGACTATAGAGCTAATAAAAAGGTCGTTTATATTATTTCCTCTTTGTCCAAATTTGTGAGCTACTATTATCTATGATATGCTGTTGAAATAATTTATTAATATAAATAATAATAAAATAAAATTGAGATCGTTCATTGCTATATATAAACTCGTATAGTCCATAGAATTTGTTGGTTGTAAAACCTTTCATTAAATATTTTTTAAGAATATATGTATTTATAGATATTGTTTATAATAATTGATAAAATAGCTATAATCGCTGTTAAAAAAAAAATAATTTTAATAGGATCTTGCAGGAACTATTAACAGCTTGTTTTCAATTGGTACCTACTCGCCAAAGTTATATATTATTTAAAATTAGTTTTACTAAAAGATATTTCACTATTTTTGCAGTTTATTAACTGTTAACACTGACTATAAATTATAATTATAATGTGAGGTTGAAGAATAATGTTTAATACGCGATAGGTATTATAATTATTACTGCATGTGCACTGCAGGTGCTTTGGTCAAGGGGAATTTTAAAACGTAAAAAAATACAATTCGTATATATATAGGTATTAGGCGTAGTGTTAAAACGAACGGGGATTCTATATATACGGGTTCCGGTTTCATATCCGTGTGTTTTCATTGTAAACCGTGAAAAATAAACAATATTTGATTCGATTCAGGGATTATCGCCGAATAACACAATACGATGTTTTGCGGCATTAATCGAATCTGACACATTATATGCAGTGCGCATGTGTACAACATATTATATAGTGTATGTATAATGTTTATTTCATTATCGTTTTTCTCTCTATTTTTTTTTGCCCTAGGGGGTGTAAGTTTTGTTTTGGGGTTCGTGTGACGTTCGAATAAAGCGCTTTAAAACACCCTATGTGCGTCAGGTTTCGCCCGAGGCCTGTTATTATAAATAAATCTGCCTTTTACTACGCTATAACTGGCATTAGCATTACTTCCGGACTTTGTGATTAATACACAAACAAAGCTTATATTATATATTTATGTTTTATCTCTTTTATGTCTGCTATGTGTCCTAAATAGAAATGGACTACAAATTTATTGTGATGTGCTGTCAGCAGTGCAGTGTCCTAGTGGTGGTTGGGGAGGGAAATAGGGGCAATTTACACGGAATTTCAAATTGTTGTGATTGCATTATTTATCTATACATCTAAATAATATAATAAATATGACTGTGTATAGCCAATTGCCATGTATGGTCAAAATAGTGTTAAAATAATGTCTACGACCGATGAGGAGACGAGGAGAGTCACTTACAATATGATAATTATGCTTATAATTTTACTTCTACAGAAGACTTTCGCATTTTGAGTGTTAGCAAAGAAAAAATTTAATTTACGGAACATATACATTAACATAAACTATTGTTAATAAATTATAAATAAAGTTACCTATTTTGAAAATATAATAATAATTAAGAAATAATACAGTTTTTTTAAAAGAAAAAGAAAAGTTATTATAACGAAATAGAACAATCCTTAAATTGCATAAAGCAGGTATTTAAAAAATAATTAATGATATAGGTGTATGAGTAGGTATTAGGTAATAGGTATTATATTCATTATTCACCTACTCTTAGTCGGGAAAATGTGTTGCCTATATTTTAATATCCGATCATCTTCCGTTCTACTATTTTTACATTTTTTAGTTGCTGGCGTTTTATTGCTTTCATCGTTTTTAACACGTTAGAAGCAGTTTAAAAAATAATAAAAATGTTCTCCTTTGTTATTTATATGTATATTACACCCCATATAGTATAATGTCGTGCGTAGTTTTGTTAAATACTCTCTAATAAATTATTACATGGCACAGCCGTATTGCTCTTTTAATTTGAAGTTCCTCACTTCCTCAGTTTAAAAAAAAAAACGACTAAAAATGAGTGAAAGAGAAAATAATATTTTTGTCGCGGGGACATAATATATATTTTTTTTGTCCATACCAATCACACTGATGGGGGAACGATTGTCGAGCAAATTAAAGGGAATTGCGTCCGTCGCACAATAACATAAACGTTCTTCATTTTCTTTAATCAACATCCCGGAGAGAATGCAGAGACGACGGGCGCGGCCGCGCGAGTGTGA